TGAACTTCTATGTCCTTGACAAGTGTCCCTTCTACGCAGTCCTCGTGTTGGGCTGGTTGCAGTCCCAATTGGAATGGACCAAGTGGAGGGAACGACTTTTCATGGTCAAAGATGCACAAGGGAACGAGTGTCCCGTCCTCTTCGGTGAGAAGCTCGACTACCCGGTGACCTTTCTTAATGCCATGCAGTTATGCAAGAAGTGGCGCAGGCATTAGGAGGATGAACAATGGTAAGGAGGGGACATAACAGACAATATCAAAGTCACTTCATGTGTCACTGGTAAGACGATCTCTATTGGATCTCAAAGAAGGATCTGTTGCGCAGCGCACCGCGCGTTGTTAAAGCATACGAGCGATAAATAGCCTCTAATACTGTACCAAACATCTCTGCAAAACTCACTGCTACTGAGTACTCACGAAATCTCTTCGCTATGTTTGGTTACGATGCATTTGTCAGGGACTCAGAATGAGTTAGTCGCTCGAAGGGACCTCGCTTTTGAGAGGGGGATAGTGTAATGACCTGCCAAACACGGTCTGAGACACAACTGATTTCTTAGTCTTGCTCATGGAATGTATGCCTTACTGAGTTTCCCGCTTGTTGCTGAGTTTTATAAGTCTGTTTGGGTGCATGCTTGCTGGTCTGCGTGCCTGTCTGAGTGCTTGTCGCCTTGAGTGTGTGTGTGACCCGCAAGGGCACTTGGTTGTTCGGAAGAGCCAAAGGGCCGGTACTTACCTGTGGCGGTGACATTGAGGGTTGAAGCGGGGAAAACACTGACACGGAAAGAGGCCCGTGACCAGTTCGTGCGCACGTTGCACACTATAGGTCTCTCCCTCTTCGTTAGGATCTTCCTCGACGCTCCCTCCATCTCCCGCATTGCAGCCTCCCCATCCTCTCCCTTGCATGGCAACCGCTGTACGGTTTTTGTTTTTCGCCTTGTTCCTCCTCCTCCCCCTTAGTCGTCCCACCTCCGCTCTCCTCCTGTCGTGGCGTGCCATTTTTTTTGCTCGTCCTTGTCTTCCACCTCTCTCCTGCTCCTTCTTCCTCCTCTTTTCCCCTCGTCCTCTGCCTCCTCGTTTCTGCTCCTCCCTTCTCGTCTTCCTCCTCCTCCCTCCTTTTCTCTCCCCGTCATGTGCCACGTGGCATACCGGCACGCGTCTTGTTTTTGTGTCATTGTTCTTGTCCTAATTATCATCCTCCCTCCTACTCATCCTCCTTCCTGCTCCTTCGTCCTGCTGTACCTTCCTTTTACCTCCTCTCCTCTCCTCTCTCCTCCCGTTGCGTTCCACGTGGCACACCGCTCGTCTTCCTCCTCCCTCTTCCTACCTCGTCCCTCCTCCGCCTTCCTCCTCTTGTCATACCACTTGGCACAGCGGCATGTGATTCTTTTTCATTCTCTTCTTGCCATCTTCTACGACTACTTTGACTACTAACGAAGCAGATTGTCAAATATGGAAGTGCATCCTCCCACAAAACAGGGCAAGATTCATCATATACTATGACTACTGATGAAGCCCATTGTCCAATTGTCCAACAAAAAGAAGGAAACTGCGTTTTATTTTTCTGTTGATGATTTCGATGTGGAAAATAAAAATAAAAATAATCCAAATAAAGTTATCTTGCGACAGAACGTGATGATGTGCACACCGGAGAGATCAGATCCTGTGTGCAGAAGTCCGTGAAACATGCTCAACCTTTCAATAACTGAGCCTAAGCTGGTACCTGTCTGTTTTACGAAGCAAACATGGGTACGTCACATATCGTCACAGGCCAGCGTGTTTACGTGCATGATTTTCCATGTGAGGGATATAGGGCATCACTGCCATCACCACACCACACCCCAAAAAATCAAAAACAAAAAATATAAAAAGAAAAGAAAAAAAAGGAAAAAAAAGACAAAACCTATAGGGGGTGCAAATACGTGATGCTATGGGCCTCACTCCATTACTCCCAAAATGTGCAAAATGAGAAGGAAATCTTTCGTTAGAAAATGGAAAGATACACCACCATAGTTTTTGTCTTTTGTGCATGTGGAGAGTAGTGTTTCAAAGCCCTATGTCGCGCACGTGATGCTAAGCATGTCCTCATGTCCTCATGTCCTCATGGAGTGATGGGGCCAGCACTCACCAAATGTGGAAAATGAAAATGTAAGTATGTCCTCATGGAGTGATAGGGCCTCCCTCCAGCACTCACCAAATGTGGCAAATGAAAATGTACAGTCCGCCAGAACATGGAAAGATACACGAAGGGACTCGTCACTCTTCTTGCACTTGGACGACCTTCAGACCAGTTGCATACGGACCACTCCAACATTTTGAACATATCTGATCCAAAAAACATGTAAATGCATGCAGAGTGTTGTGTAGTGGAGCCAGGCCCAAACGTGCGATGAACCCATCCAGAAAACATTATGAGATAGGGCCTCTACCCACTACTCTCGGCATACACAAAAGACAAAATATGTCGGTGTATCTTTCCATGTTCTACCCAAACAGTTGCGCTGGTCCACATAAACACGCTTGTACCATCTCTACAAAATACACGCATACCACAAAGATCAGGCTGAACGTGCAGAGATCTCACTTTGGCTCCAGAGATCTAACCCTTGTGCGCAGCGTGAAAAAGATATGACCTTGAGTCCAGAGGTCTCTACATCTACAATATGCTTGCCGTGCTGTGTAGGTCGGGCTTCTCTCTCTCTCTCTCCCTCTCTCTCTCTCTCTCTCTCTCTCTCTCTCTCTCTCTCTCTCTCTCTCTCTCTCTCTCTCTCTCACACTGTGTGGGTCGTCCATAGCTCCATAGGTAAGTAGTTAATGATAAACGATAAATAAATCATAAATGAAATGGTACACTTGCCTTTTGGGAGCCGCGCATCTTGCATCACCGAAGCGACACCAAGTAGCAGTTATTAATGTCAGTAAAGTTGTTATGAAGTTACCTGCAGATCGCCCCTAGCGCCATGTTGTTCGCCAAGTTATTATGAACTCTTCGAGTGTTGCGGCCTTTCTTCCCCGCTCGGTCCTTCCATGCACGTGGTGAAACTGCCCATGTGTGAGTCCAGATCATCGCTGTGAAATCTGACCTTGCGAAGACGGCGAAGCAAGGAACGGACTGTGCGCCGGCATATTGCCCCCCCCCCCCCCCC